AAAAACGGCAAATAAATTAAGCAACAAGATAAAAAATTTACATATTAGGGGTGAGACATTTATCATTTAATCAACGCATATATTCATAAAAACTTAATCTCATTAGAATAAGGGCATTTTAGACTTCTAACAGTAAAATATTAATACGCGATTAATAATTAATTAACATACTTGCATCTGACACGCAAGCATGTTATTTGTTCTGCATAGTAGTATTTGCAAAGCTAAATCTAAGGGAATTTGACTCTCAATTAAACAATTTCAAATTAAGAAAAATCTCTTTCATAATTTATGCAGCATTAAATCATGAATATCATCAGAAACAGGAGCATACAGGCTTTAAATATTTAACTCATTACATAAAAAAATATCAGTTATTGAATGTAATGAACAGTCTCTTTTATTAAGTCTCTCCAAAGACAAACTACTAACACAATAACACTTAAAAAAATCTTGTGGCTCCTCTGAAACGCAATTACTCTATAAGGAGGACTATACGAGCATTTTTGTTTAGTTACATTTAAAGCATTAAACATACATTTTATGCATACTTAAGTACAGATATACAGCATGAAGACGTTTTGAAATATTTCCAAATGCCTACCATTAAATTCAGACCGAAAAATGCATTAATATAGCAAGCATCTAACGAACGAATCATAACCTTGATCACAATACTTAGATGATGAAATTTTCATTTTATGCAATGAATAATAATAAGGAGGAGGGGGGTTGGGTTGGTTTGGTTTGGTTTATGTGATTACAGCAAAGCTTCGATGGATTTCGGCTTAAAGGAAGGGAGGATGCCTTTGTGGAGATTCTAAGTGGAATTGGCTCGTACGCACGTTACGCATGGAGAAAACCCCGTTCGCGGGATTCGAACCTCTGACCGAACTACCAGAGTTCACCGATCGGCCGCTAATGCGTCCAGAAGGAGAAGGGAAGCATTTAAAAGCAAGAAGAATAAATCTGCTGCTGTCCTTCAGGAGACGCAATGCGAATATATAATATACATATTTAAGAAACAGCCTTCTGTAAGCGCATCATTGGCATTTAATTTATCATGAAAGACTGGAGAGGTGAAAGAAAGTTCTTTCGGAAGAATTTGCAAAATTCAAGAAATTACTGGCTAAAGCTCAGCATTAAATAGATATATTACACACAAATACAGCTGTACAAAATATAATGAACAAGACGTCTGAGCACAAATAATAACACTTTTCAAGGTTATATCAACTTACGGTTGATACATACCAAAATTAAGGTTTAAACACGAACATTTATAATTTTTCTCCTCTAAACATCCGGGATACTCCCTTTCTCAAAACGCACAAATAGATGAAGTCTTAAAAATTAACAGGAAGTTCCTATTTAAAATCGAAATTATATCAAAAATTACTTTCATTTTTTCCTGTTAGCCATGCTTTATATGTTATGCTTTTGTATAAAATTTTGTACACCTAATTTATAAACAGTTGCTTTTAATCCAATAAAATAACAATTTTAACAATTGTATGTTTATTTGCATGTATTCCGTCCCGGATGATATGATGATTAGCAGAGCAGGCTACTATAATGGTGAGCTCGGTTTCGAATGCCATTGGCGGCTGTAATAGACGATACCATAGATACATCTACATATTTACCCAAAAATAAGACCTCTCTTACATTTTAGAATAAATTTAAAAAAATTGGAATGTAGATGAATATTTTGTTCAGCAGTTATTCTGAGAAAGAAAACCTTAGTTTTGATAGTGATACACTGTAACCTAATCAGCATGCAAGTTCGTAATTCTGCAAAGATACGGAAGATTAGTGATTCCCTTCCAAAATGCTAAAAAAAATCCGCATCTTGATCTTCAAATACTAGAGCAACACAAGTTTATGGATTGGTTGCGTTCTTCATAAAAATGATATTGACCAACCAAGTGTAAAAGTTACGGAAGGACTTTTAAAACAAGATAAGAGAAGTCCACTCTCATAGCCTCCAGATAATTGAGGTTACCCCTTCTAAAAGGTGTGCTGCACAAAGCTTTGGCACCTGAAACAAACAATATGTATTCTAAGAGTATGTACATAGACGTTTCTTTCCCTGAAAGCCTACTTGGCGCAGTCGCATTTGTTACAATCATTGCAACCTTCATGATAAACATGGATGGCTTAACTTGGGGGGGGGGGGGTTCAGAAAAATCCTCGTGTCTAACCGGCCAGGACGTTTTTACGAAGCACGTTACATAAATTTCTTGTGCCACTTGCATATCGAGGGCCTGAATTATGGATTTTTTCTACACTGCATTTCGAAATTCTTTTACAGTTGTGTATCTGACCCCTTGTAAATATACAACGTCACACATTGTTATTTTTTTAATAGCCATCAAAAGGTATGTGTCGCATGGGAAAACATACAAAAATATTTTTAAAACAAATAAAACTACGATTTGTTAGTACATGCAGAAAAAACAAACATCGATGCCTTATTTCCATTGTTTTATGGAAACTCAAAAGCTTACAGATGTCTTTTTTTTTTAAAAAAAAAAAAAAAACACCCTGCACATCCAACAAATTTTCACTGCCTATTTTTGAATTTATATACGCGTTTATTATGAAATTTTATTTAAAGGTATTAATGATAATTACAGCCTTTTAATCTGAGTTGATAGAGGGCGCATTTAACAAATTTTTAAGAAACAAAAGCTTTAGCTTTGTTGAAGTTATTTACTATCTAATCATCAAAACAAATATTACAACATATTAAGAAAGCTAGATGATCTTATAAAAAGAAAATAAATTTTACAAATATCGTAGAGTCTTCTTATGTGTTTTGGGAACATAAAGTGTCCAGCGGTTCTCAATCTTTTGACTAACATGTACCATCTAGGCAAAAATTGAAAACCATTAGTACCACCACTGCAAAGTACTACTAACACCACCAATCTTGAACAAAGTTCAGATCGCACAAATTTACGAGTGTCAGAGGAAAAAACTCGATCAGGATGTTGGCGTTAATTTTTGAATTTAATATTTAAAAATACTTTGCTTACCACCTATTTTTCTCTTGCGTACCACCGGTTGAGAACCCCTGGTTAGACCATTCGAAGAACAGATGACTGCAGACAAAGGTTATAACAACCTTTTTATTTTAACGAAACGGAACAGAAAATGCCCTCACTCGATGCTCACGATTTAACCACCATTTGTGAACACAAAATAGTATGTACAATCACAATGAATTAAATGTTAGCTACACGACTGGCTCCTACACAATCTAAACAGCTTAATCGGCTGCACACAGTAAAGCCTAGTCTAGAATATGAATGTAATCTAAAGTAAGTGGTTAGCTCAAACTTCAGAGCTACTTTCAAACACGCGGCATAAATTCAGAACTATAAGGGTCCTACCGCAAACGCTTAAAATCTGCTACTTAAATACTATTTCCGAACTTACTTAGATTTGCATACATGTCATTTAAATTTGCATTCTAGCAGGAAATTGAAATCGAAGGGCAGAGTCGTAGCTAGGGTTTTCAGCGGCCAGGGACAACTGAAGATTTCGCGCCCCCTACTGCTTGCCAAGGATGGAAAACATTTAATTCTAAAATGTCGTAACATCAGTTTGGCGCCCCTTGGATTTTGCGCCCGGGGACAGATGCCCCCCTTGCCCCCTCAAGCTATGCCCCTGTCGAAGGGAAAGGAAAGTTTCTTAAAAAATAAAAATAACTGGTTAGAACAAAATAAGGGCTTCACAATATTAGCAAAATACGGTAAGAAAGTATTAAAATTCAATTAATCACTTCCCTTATTTTTCGGGCATTCAACGTTCTTTTCCGAAGATGCCAAAAAGGAGAAGGGGGACCCTCTGATATTATCTGCTCGCACGTCAGAACATTTAGAATCTTGACCTTCAAATATCTTGTACTAACAAAACAGCAATTTAACCGCTTCACGGCATTAGATTTACTGGATATGAAAGATGTGGAATATTATGACATAGAAAGTGTAACTACATTAATATAAAAATGTGACAGTAACATCATATTTTATGTTATTATAATTATTTTGTTTTAAATATTCATCACAACTAGTACGTATATTGCTGCTCTGGGAAGGAGGAGGGGGGAGATTCCTGTAACAAAGTACTGTAGTTACGATGAGAATCGATCGGATATTTGATAAAGGCTTAGTATGTAATTTTTGATTCAAAAGCTCCTAGAGATGGAATCCGAGGCTCTGGTACCACTTTTCTTCTACCATTGACCTCTTGTGAAGACTTCCGTATCAACAGAAATTAAGCGCTGTCATGATATAAAGACAATACAATTTTACAAAGCACATGCCTTATCACAATTCGAACCAGACTGGGAAGTGTAATAATATACAAACATATAATTGATAATTATAAATTAATTCGTAATTACAACTAAACACATAACTATACAGTAAGACAGAGTATTTAAAAACTATCAAAAACTCTCTACCGGGCCATACTTTAGAAACCATTGGTCTACAACAGGTAAGTTCCGTCAGTTACGCTGCAGATTCATTTATATTTTTTTTAATATCAGAAAACTGAAGAAATCTGCAATGCCCTCGTCGGGATTCGAACACCAGACCTCCCAAATACGCGTCCAGTGTTTCCAGTTACATCAACGAATGGCAAATTGGTGGTGGCGAATTATCTTCCACCACCTTTTAGCTCGAGCGCCACTTACAAAGTCTTTTAGAATTTTTTGAGGCAAGGAAATTGAATAATAAAGCAATGCCGTTGACGGGATTCGAACTCCGATGCTCCCAAATAAACGTCAAGTGCGCTTTTGGTTACATCACGAAGGAATACGGAAAAGAAGGAGAAAATACTTCATATATTCCAGAGCAACTGGGAATGAGGGGAACTAATTAACAAATCTTTGTGGCGACGAATTATCGTCCACCACTTTTTAGTTCGGGCGCCACTATAGAGTCATTTAGAATTTTTCCATGTCAGGAAACTGAACAAATTCGCAGTGCCCTCGCGGGGATTCGAACTGCGGACCTCCCGAATAAAAGTCGAGCGTGCTTCCAAGTACACCACGAAGGCATCGGGAAAAGAGGGAGCAAATATCTTATAACACATAGGATTAAATCTACGAAAATTAGTTGACGAATTTGCGCATGAATAACGTACAGTTTAATATTTTCGAAATTTAAAACACGAAATGTAGCCCCTTTCCTATAAATGCGCAAAATTTACTTACTGATTGATATCCACAGACGGAAGCCACAAGAGAAGTTCGTAACCCTACTTAGTCCAAGCAAGAAAAAATAATGAATAAAGTTACTACTACTATGAAAATAAACATGATTAGATAAAGCGGTCATAGGAAAACCCGGAACAAGTGTATGTCAAAAAATGTAAAAATAAAAAATACGCGGTGAGCAAAGATTCATCCCCCCCTTTTTTTTGCGGTCAAACATTATGCAATAAAAATGGTGACTAATTAAACTCTGCTCCTATAACACAGTCACGTGGACAGCTTAACTAGGCGGAAACACATGCGTCATACAAGACTCGTTTCACTTTTGTTTATTTAAATGTCAAGACAGAGTACTAAAAAAACATACAAATAAATAAACAAAATAATGCGTAAAATCACACAAACAACTACAGGAAGGAAGGACACGCATCCCGAATCGGTGAAAAGGAAGCTTTATCTGATTGCAGAGAGACTTAAACAATGACGCCCATAAAACATTGTTCAAAGCATTTTATCGTGCGCTGGAGTAATTTTTACCATAGAAGGCGAAAAAACATGATTTAGTGAGCTTTAAGCCCACGTAAAATATTGAGTACGTTTAAATATTACTTTAAAATGCTATTGATGAGAAATTTTAAGAATTTCTAAAATGAATACCGCTTTTAATTACATATTTAAATGGCAGGATTAAAATTAGTTGTTTTAATCATTTCTTTTTCAAGCCTTTTTATTTCACCTTCGAATCCAAAAACAGCGTTTAGATTGCACCATCTAATAAATAAATGCTCAAATAAAAGCGGTAGATCGCATACTACATCATTACCAAAAAAGTTAATGTACATACACTAACCAAAAAAGTTAATGTATATACACTAACCAAAAATGTTAATGTATTGTGAAACACAATGAAAAAGAAAAAAATAATTCTACAAGCAATATATGCTATGCTTCCATGCTTCTTCTATTTCATAACTGCACAATTCTACTAAGAAAAAAATGAATGCAGCAAAGCATCCACCGTCTACTTTAAAAATCGTACTTGCTTCAGATAACAAATCCCGTATTACGTTATGGTTGGGAGAAAACACAGTCAATGGATTTGAAGCTGAGAAAACCTTCAATGTCATTAGTTTCATAACTCCATTCATTGGCCAACTCCATTAAAACTAAGCCCAACGTTATTCAAGCGGTAGACGGATATCGAAAATGGAGGGAACAAATTGGCCTGTATATAATTCGAGATACTGTCATAATTCATATTTAAAAAAAATATGTCCATTTTTCAACTTTGAAAAACTTCATTAACTTTACCGAGTGAGTTTACAATGCAGATTACAAAGAACTAACTTAACAAAAGTTGCTTCATTACGCACATTCTAATTCTAGATAAAGAATGGTCACGGGTACAGAAGCACATTTTTCTTTAGCAGGAAAAATTCATAAAGTACACACCTAATTCATAAACAGTATTTTTAGCCCTGAAGAGCCGAAAAATTCAGTGCAACCACTTTTGAAGCTCAGCAACAGCCCTCTAACTTTCGAGAAACTCTAAAGAATACTTCAGAAAGAAAGAATTTCGTGTAAAAAAAAAAGATATAAAAGCAACATACCTGACAGCAGACTCATCAGTTTTAACAGAAGCGTCCCACAATTCAAGTTTGCAACATGCCTTCAGGTATAAGAGAAAAACGGAGGGAAAGTGCCCTTAAGCGTGAGAGAGAACATCTTAGATAGATAATGCGTGACCTGCACTTAATAAGAGGCAGAAAAGATTTCAAATCATCCTGGCTCTCAAATATTCCTCTTTCCAAGAAGAACATTAAAAGCAGAGGCATAATGACCGCAGATGGAGAAAAATTTCCAGTTTTGGTCTAGTGATACAACGTGCCAGGTGCATCATATATCTTTACTGAAGAAGTGTACAGGTTTTTGTAGGTGCCCAACACGTGTTACGAAATAATTATAAAAAATAAGCCCTTGTAGAGGGGGAAGATAAGGGAGTTGTTTATCTTAGGCCTTCTGGTTTACATTTTTTCACACCTAATTAATTCTCTTGCGTTTTCGTTTACAACTGGTTTAATCCAGAACAGTCTTATTTTTAACTAGCAAAAGAGATGAGGATTAAATCAAATAAAAACGAGAGTATTTCCATCCTATAAAAAATATGCTCATGAGAAAAAGAATAAAAACATTTCATTAAAAAACGCACTTTAACGTAAAAAAGTTTTAACATAATTCCCAAAATTAAGACTGATTTTATACCATTTTAACATAAACGAAGTGATAAAGATTCAAGAATTTCATAACTATATGATACTCTACTAATTTATGAATGGATTTAAGACTTTTCTTATTTCTAAATAAAAAGCTTAAAATTTACAAATTATTACCCTGACGTTATACAAAAGTAACAGCTACAAAACTTAAAAAGGGAGGATTTTTTTTTTTTTTTTTCTCCACCGGGGAAAAAAAAAAATCACAGCGGCGGGGAGACAGCAGAAATAATCTTATCAAGCATTTCATAAAAGTGAGAAAAAATGTCATGGCAGAATTAAGCGAAAAATAGACACACACGTATGCAGAAAACCACTTGATGAAATCACCTGACTACTAGGATTTTTCTAGGGTTGATCGGCCGAAAAGCTGATGTAGATGAGCCGAAGCGCATACTGATTACCGGTTTCATTCGTCATTATTATGATTGAGTTTTTCCTTCTGGCAGAGAATACGATTTTTAGTACAGGGAAGCCACATCCCATTATTCAAATCCGATTTTTTTTTTAACCTTGTACTTCAAATTTACGAGATTAAATTATTTTTAATTTCTCCTAATATTTCATCTTGGTTTATTAAATTTGAAGCAAAATAAGGTAAACTAAATATAACGCGAAATAGAATTGCGTTTCAAATAGAATAATTTTGCGGCATTCTTGAGCAATAGATATGTACAAATTTTGTATATAACTGACAGTGATTTCAATAGCATATTAAATTTCCAACAGATATTTGTACCAATTTCTTGGTTATCAGGCTAATTTATACAGGTTTACACTCATATTAGTTAATATGCAGCCCACTGATAATTCAGTCGTCAATCTATCAAAGAACATTCTTAGTTAATCTTGCATTCAAAGTTCTCAAGGAAGGAAACATCTAGTGTGATAAGATAGTAAGTTACATACTGCAATGATTGTATGAGATTTTGGTGGCCCCACATAAATTTCTGTCTGTCCTCCCATTCCTTCTCTCTCGGTTTAACCGCACCATGGTAAAATCGACAATGAGAAATTTTGGTGGTGTTCATTTGTTGAGTTCCTAAGGACCTTCTGTGATGCACATTTTCCTCGATGTCCTAAGCACGTGCTTATTTTGCTTAACGTTAATCCAGCTCTGATTGTAATACTAATAAACACCCTTTCCTTGTCATCCCAGCAACACTATATTTTGCATAAGATACCGCAAAAACAAATAAATCAAAGCCCAATTACCTACTCTGGCTCAGCTTTCTTTCAAGAGGCCCACCAGCGGCCGAGCGGTAAAATCGCTGAACACTGGTAGTTCGGTCCAAGGTTCGAATCCCGCGGACGGGCTGGCTGCATGGGTGTTTCGTGGTTTTCCCCATGTGTAACGTGTATACGAGCCAGTTTCCCTTAGAAAGTCCTCCACGAAGGCATCCCTCCCCTTAGGCAGATAGCCCTCGTGTGCTTTGCCATAATTAAATACACACACACGCAAAAAAAAAAAAAAAAAAAAAAAAAAAAAAAAAAAAAAAAAAAAAAACTTTCTTTCAAGGGCCCCCAACATCCACTATTCTTGTTCTTATGAAGTAAAACCGAGACTATAAGGAATTACAGAATGATTTTAGGACCCTCTAAAATCTACAGCTATAGATGGTAATCAGGCCTTGAATTATTTTCAGAACTCAATTAAAGATTGCAAAATCTTGGAAAAGCAAGTATTTATCTGGAAATATATTTGTTGAAAAGGAACACTCCATAATATGTCAGGGGTAATCTATTTTAAGTCCTGATAATATGTTCTAGTTTAGTTTGCAAATGCCTGTAGGCGACAGTACAACTGGAGACTATTAGGGGAAGAAGAAACGTAAGGAAAAAGTGAATGAGAACATTTCCAGAACATGGAGTATTCTTTACAAGGCACCATGCAGGAGGATAAAATAGCCCCTTTCTCCTCAACCTGATCTATTATACTTTTAGCCTCTTCAGAAACCTATTCATTCATTAATGATCGTATGCTTTCAAGGTCACAACCTATGTTTTGTTCAGAAACTACAGGGTTACTTGCACAGAGAGAAAATGCCTTCCCATTGCAGGGAGTTCATAAATCGCTCCCTTGACTTAACAAACAACTTAACAGCTCAGTGAAAATGAAGGGTTTTAAGTGAATAGAATGGCTTTTGAAAGCCATTACGAAAAATCAAGTATCATATCATTGCACATCATATACATTAAACAGCACGCCATTTTGTTAAATCTACAAATGGCCAATGGACTCCAGCATTTCTAATGTAAATCGTAGATATTAAACATGAAAAAAAGTTATATTTATTGTGAAAAAAGCATAATTTCGACAATGCGAACAAGTCACGTTAATAGAATTAAAAAAGTTATGCTAATATTTTCTCACATAATGAAAATTCCAAGAAAATTAAAAATACCCTACACAGATTTTACGCGTTTTCATGTAGTAGAAGTATACGAAAATGAAATATATACGCACGTTGCATAAAACAAAAGATTAACATTTTAGTCAATCCGATCAGTTTCTGGTGTGTGCTACCATAATATAGGTAATAGGTCTGATCAGCTTCTTTGTTATGCTG